TAAAATTTTATTTTATTTATTTTTTTATTTTTTTATTAGTGAAACACCATGAGGCACAGTTATAAACTTATAAATTTTTGTGCTTGGGTTTCAGTTATACAATGATCAAGTACCCATCCCTCCACCAGTGCCCATCCTCCACCACCACGGGTCCCAGCATCCCTCCCACCCTCCATCCCCCTCGTCCCATCCTGCCTCTGTGGCAGGGCATTCCCCCTTGTTCTCTCTCTCTTCTTTTGGGTACTGTGTTTAGCAAGAGAGGCATAAAAGCGAATATTTTTTGACAAAGAGCAGTAGGCCCAGATAAATTTGGACACTTGATTTTTGACAAAGGTAGTTCTACAGAGAAAAGGAGGCCTTTTCCAAAAGTGTATTAAACAGACCCCATATATCCAAAAGGCTGGAAACAACTGGTACTGGTAGGGAGGTATTGAAAAAGGGATTGAAAAATGAGGAACCCTCATTTGCTTTTGGTGGGTCAGTAAACTGGCTCAGTGTCTGGAAAACTAAATGGAGACTTTTCAAAAAAAAATTACAACTAAAACTAGAACTACCATATAATTCAGCAGTTTCATTCCTTGGCATCTATCCAAGAATATAAAAACACTAATTTGAACAGATATATGCATTCCTACATGTAGTGCAGTGCTATTTTAAAATAGCCAAGATCTGGAAAAAACCAAAGGGTTGAATGACATGATAAACAAAAAAGTAGCTGTGGGATATGGACACAATGGAATACTATTCGGCTATAATAAAAGACAGAAACTTGTCTATATATATATATGTATGTATATATATGTATATATATATATATATATATCTGGGGTTGGAGTGGGGGTTTGAGGGAGAGTCATGCTAAATGAAATAAATAAGAAGAAAGATGATTACTGGAAGATCTGATCCAGATGTGGTATTAAAGGAAATAAAGAAAAACAAAGGAAGACAATGTCCAATGAAAACAAACCCTTAAAGTCTACTGAATTCTGAGTCTGGAGGGGACAGGGGTGTAGACAGGAAAGGTCCTAAGGACAGTGGTGGAGGTACATTAACACTTTGATGATCAGGTGTGGTATGGTAACATTATACCCCTAACACAAACATTTAAACCCTTAGAAATGGCTGCTATCACAATAAAAAAAATTTAAAAAAAAATAGGTTCCAACTCTACATCACCAATCAGAAATGAAACCCAGTTATATATTATACTCAAACCACTCTTGACCTCTTTGGAGCTCCTCTCCATGCAAGAATGAATATTGCACATTCACAGAACTCTAAATAAAACCAACAATATTTTAATCTGTTGACAGCCAGGGATGTGGCTCAATGGTCAAACAGTTGTCTTGCATGTCTGGGTCCTGAGTTCAAACCTCAGTACTGTCCAAAAAAGAAGTAAATTTTATTCGAATGAATGCTGTTTTTAAATAAATGATTCTGTGTCAAATGAATATCCACATGAGAAAAAAATACAATCTGATCCACCTCCTCTCTCTCTCCTCTCTTTCTCCCTCACCTTCTCTCTCTCCCTCTCTCCTCCTCTCTCCCCATCTCTCCCTCCCTTCCTCCCTCCCAGCTAGACTGTAAAATAACACAGGAAAATATTCTCATTCCCTTGGTGTAAGTACTCCTTTCTCTTTCGTTTTTTTTTTTTTGTCTTTTTTTCAGCTTTTGGTTTAGGGGCCACACCTGGCAGTGCTCAGGGATTGCTCCTGGCAGTGCTATATGAACAATGTGTTGTAAAGGATCAAACACATCTCCAGCATAGAAAGCACATGCTCCAGCCCTTTGAGCTCATGCGCGCTCTCTCTCTCTCTCTCTCTCTCTCTCTCTCTCTCTCTCTCTCTCTCTCTCTCTCTCTCTCTCCAGCCCAAGAATCATTTCTTAAACAGGAAATAAAACTAAAAGCACTAATTGAAAGAAGAATCATCAAAAACAACAAAAGGAGGGTGAAAAGGCCGAACCCAAACTAAAATATGTTTGCAAAAGATATCTAACAAAGGAGTGATATCCAAATGGGTAAGGAAATCTGATAAATTACTGAGAAAATGTCGGCAGTACGGTAGAAAATTAGAAAAGACAAATAGGGACTAACCAAAAGAATATCCAAATGATAACAAAATAAGCTTGGTTAGGAATCAGGAAAGCCCTGATTAAAACTACAGAGGGTGACACTACACCCACTGATCAAAAAACTAAACATTTAAAAGACTACAATATTAAGCAATAGAACGAATGTGGAGCAATAGGAACATAAATGCCGTTGGAAATGTAAATTGGTATAATCACTCTGACATCTACTAAAGCTGAACAGATGAACATCGTATAATCTAGCAACTATAACAAGACACGAACAAGAATAGTCACAGCAAATTATTCTTAATAACCCCAAACAAACCAAATGTGTCAAGAGTAAAATATTTGTATAAATGATGTCAGACTCCCACAATAGAATACTAGAAAGCAATGAAAAATGCACAAACCACCTTTACAGCCAGCCACATGAACAAATCTCAGTAATCATGTTGAGCTAAATAAAAGCCAGTCACAAAAGAATAAACACTGAACATCTCCACTGATATGAATTCAAAGGCAAGCTAATCCTAACTATAGGGATAGCAGCCAGGATAGTCAATAGTCTAAAGAGAAAAGGTAACGCCAGAAAGGGTCTTCATAGGGTTGTTGTGTAAAATAGAAAGATGCTCAGTTAAACTTGAATTTCAGACAAATAACAAATAAGCTTTCCATGTAAGTGAATCCCATGATATATTGGGGAGGAACCGTGATTTTTTTTATTGGCAAAATCTGGCAACTCTGGTCATGCTTTTGGAGTTTCAAATAACATTCTGCTACATAGTTTTTTCTTAATATTCCTTCCCAGATCACTCATTTTGTGTGTATGTGTTTTTGTACATGTGTTGGTAGTTCACAGCAAGAAAAAAAATTATTTAGGAAAAAAGGCAAAAAGTACACTCAGTACAGCCTTGAAGGTTTTAAAATATCTCCTCCAACCACCGGTTTTCCATCCCAGGCTTAATCATTACATGTGAGGACTGTGGGTGTTCTTTAGGAGGCGGGCACTGGGAATGGGAAGTGTTGCTGGGCTCAAAGCTGTGGGCTCAACTTTCAATTTTGTATTAAAATTACTTTTATCCAGCAGGCTTTTTTATTTCTGGAATTATTTTTCAGATTCTGCCACACAGGGGTCTCTCTTATTTGTATTTGGGTGGCTGGCTTAATTTACCAAAGGCCAACGCTAGCATGAAAGGCTAAACTCAAGTCTTCTGCCAAATAATGCATAGAACAGTGTTCAAGAAGAAATTGGGAGTCATTAACATAGCTCAAGAGGGTGGAGGGCATGCCTGGCATGCTTGCGTTCCTGAGTGCAGTCTCTGGTACCACCAAATCATCAGGCCTGCAACTGCTGGGCCAAGAATCACCCACAGTGGTTCCTGCACATATGGCACTGCTGAAAAAAATAACTGGATAAGAAAACATGCGATATATACTCAATGCACTATTACTCAATTCTCGATTATTTAAAAAAATAAAAATGATGCCTTGTGCAATAACATGGCTGGAATTTGGAGTGATCGTGGTAAGTAAAATAAGTCAGAAATTTTTTTTTAAAAATACAATTTCATTCTCTCCTATGAGGAATTATAGATGTGGAATGTAGAATAACCAAGGTAAGGGGACTAAGAAAACACAATAAAAATAACTCAGCTCTGTGAAAATATTATCAGAAGAGGAGGGAAAGAGGGAGGTTGGAATGGGTAGAGGGGGCCAAATTTGATTATGAGAACTTTGTTGGTTAGTGTAGTGAGGCACAGACACAGACTGAGGTATGAAGCTGTACTCTTACAATTTAGACAGCACAGTAAAAATCAATAAAATTTAAAAGGAAAAAGACGAATGGACTAGCCCACCTTGGGGGTCAGACTCCAATGTTCTTAAGTTGCAAAGAAAATAAACTGGTAGCAAGCTAACAATTTGGATAAAAATTCTGTTTAGAAGCAACAATGTCAAATGCTTCAGTCTGGTTCCCAAATTTGCCATTTTCTCTAACTCCTTTGTAGTTCCCTCCCATCTTGCATGTTTCCATCTTGCTCCTCCCTCTTGCGTTCTTTTTGCAGACATTAGCAAACAGAAGGAGACTAGGGACCAGTGCAAACAAAAGCTTGACTTGTATTTTTGTTTAAATATGCAATTTCTTTTTAATCTTTTTGGGTCCCACTCAGCGATGCTCAGGAACTACTCCTGGCCGTGCTGGGGGACTACATAGGATGCCCGGGATCAAACCTAGGCCGGCTGCGTGCAAGGCAAAAGTTCTACCCGCTGAACTATGGCTCAGCCCCCCAGGATGCTCATACCGTTCTTGCATGCTCATGCCGTCCCAATTCAAAGTAAAAGAGAGAAATGTGCCCAGGTTTGGGTTCGTGTTTGTCTCCATAAACTTGAGGTTTAAACTTTATAAACTGGTGGGTCTCTACCTCTAGGGCCCCTGCCAGCACACACGTTTCTTCACTTAAGAACAGAAACTTTCTGGGGGCCGGAGTGATACCACAGCGGGTACGGCGTTTGCCTTGCACCCAGTTCGATTCCCGGCATTCCATATGGTCCCCCAAGCACCGCTAGGAGTAATTCTTGAGTGCAAAGCCAGGAGTAACCCCTGAGCATCGGGTGTGACCCCAAAAAGCAAAAAAAAAAAAAAAAAAAAAAAGAACAGAACAGAAACTTTCTTTCAAGTGGGATAGTAATCCTGGGCTGTGGAAAAAAGTCGGCTGCATCGGCAAGGTTGTGCAGCCTCCGTTCTCTCAGCTGTAAAATGGGTATAAAATAGCACCTACCCAACGAGCAGTCAGTAGCGTCGGCTGCCTAACCCACCTATAGGGGTTCGACTTACCTATGTAACTCAAGGTGACCTGGGGAAAGGGGTAAGAGGGGAGGCAGGGAAGAAGAGTTCAAGCGCTTAAGTCTGGTGCGCCCTCGTTACTCACGTTGCGGTTGAAGTCATAGCCCGGCAGCACCGGAAGAAACATAGTTTGGGATAAGATCGTGGTCAAGGGTCTGAAAGGAGAACTTGCTGATGGTCGGCCTCCTGGCCTCATTGTTTAAACCCCGCCCCCCACGTTGCCAGGAGACGGAAGAGGCGTCATCGGGGCAGGCGGATCTGCGGCCGGCGGGGCGGGCCCTGGGCGGGGCTCGGCAGGAAGTTCTGCGCCCCCTCCCCCTCCCCAGCCCCGCCCACTCAGCGGCTCCAGCTCGATCTCCCGAGGCTCTTCTCTCTCCGCGCATTGTACACACACAAAGACCCACAGCCACACCGTTCCCCGCCCCCACAGCTTTCTGCTTCAAGCCCTTTCCAGCGGCCGAAACCTTGCAGGTACTTAATCTCCGGTTCCTGCACCACGTTAGTTTTCACTGGTATCATGGCGCTTTGATGTTTTTCCACCTACTTGTAAAATGTACTTGAAATGCCCAGACAGGCGCAGAAAATAGAACACCCGTGAGCTCTCAGAAATGTAAGGCAAGTCAACCTTTCCTGTGTCAAATTCACATCAACTTTTTTTGATAATTAAAACGTTCAATATGAATTGAAAACCACACCATCTGCCTTCCCTCCCCACCTCCCCGCTAGGAGCCCCACCATTCTTCCTCTGCACGGTTTTTTTTTAACTGCTACTGAACGTTTGTGAGGTACTCGCTCTTGGTTACAATCAGGGGTGGCCAGGCACAAAATGTGAGCCTTTGTCACTCCAGCACGCACCCCAAAATGCCCAGTCCCAGAAACCCACACTCCCTACCTACACTTGCAATTAATTGCTCCCTTAGTCCTGGTTGAACACTTGCGGTCACCCTCCTCTCTACAATACAGGTCCCATTTATATTTTGTCCTGTCTTCGTTTTTGTGGCGCGGAAGGTGGGGGTGGGGGCGCCGACCAAAGCGATAGTATTGCAGGAGTGGCACTTACTTTGCACGCTGCCAATCCAGGTTTGATACCGGGCACCCCAAGCACGACCTTCCTCTTTTTAAAAAAAATTGAAGCTGTTCATGGCTGGGTTTCAGTCATACAATGTTCCATCACCCGTCCCTTCAACAGTGTATGTACATTTTCCACCACCAATGTCACCAGATTCCTTCCTGTCACCCCACCCACTACCCTCCACCCCCACTCCAGCTGCCTCTATGACAGGCACTTCTCTTCTCGCGTCTCGCTTCTCGCTTCTCTCTTCTCTCTTCTCTCTTCTCTCTTCTCTTCCTGAGTGTGGAGCCAGGAGGAGTAACCTCTGAGCACCGCAAAGTGTGGCACAAAACCAAAAAACAATACGACAGAAAACCTAACAGACCTTGACGTGAAGTCACCCTCTTTTACCTCAACGATGCATCTTCTCCCCTTCCTGCCGCCTTTAGGAATTGGAGCCATTGTCAGCAGGCCCCTGCCAAGCCCTCCATTGTTTTGACTCACCCTGAGAAACAAAGGGCAGTTTCCAATCCAGACTCAGTAGTTTATATCATCTGGGACATTGCAAATATATTTATTTACTAGAAACACTTTTCCCTCCTTTCTTTCACCTAGGGGACTCCTTCTTGGCATTCAGGACTTACTTCAGTGTGAATGGAGACAGGGAAAGCTTTGCCATTTCTGGAAAACCTTCTTTCACCTTTCCCCCATCAATCCCCAGGCTGAATTAGGTGTCTGTTCTTATTCTGGCTTTCCTGATACTGCGTTGTAATTTCTTGACAGTCTGTGTCCCTCAATTCCTCTGAGGTAGGAACTATATTTCCTTTTTTATTTTCAACAAGATACATCATTGTTTTGGACACTTTCTATAGGATAAATTTCTGCTACCTGCTTTTTCTTCTAAGATTTTGGTTGTGAGCTTTCTACATGGTAAGACATATATATGTACGTGTATTATCTATTTTAGGTGCGTTAATGATTCATCTGTTGATATCATCTGTTGCTGACAATCAGGTTTCCAATTTTTAATTATTTGTCAATGATGCTTCAATGAACAATTCTGATTCTTTCTCCTGATTTTATCTCAGATGCATGCTTAAAAGTAGCTGCAACCTTAAAATACATACTTAAAATTGTTATATATGTAAGTTCAAATCATCAACTTTACTAGATCTTGCCAGAAAATCTCCAGAATTATTAAATCAATTAAGACAGTTCCCTTTCCCCTTCATTCTTTCAATAGATATTATCAAACTGTATAATTTGAAGTAATTGCTGAATGAATGTGAAATGGTATAGAGTGGTTTATTTGTTTCCTCTTAATTCCTACCTCAATTGGTCATCTTTTCATATGTGCTACCTTCTTCTGTGACTCATCTATTCATATCTTTTACTGATTTTTCTATTCAATCATTTGTTATTAAAATATTTATTGGGGCCAGAGGGATAGTGCAGTGGATAGGGCATTTGCCTTGCATGCGGCCGACCTGGGTTCGATCCCTAGCATCCCATATGGTCCCCCAAGCACCGCCAGGAGTAATTCCTGAGTACAGAGCCAGGAGTGACCCCGAGCATCGCTGGGTGTGACCCAAAAGGCAAAATAAAATAATTAATTACTGGATATGGCTCCAAAATTGAAAAATAAAATATATATCCAAATTGAGTCAATTATTTCAGTAGTGTTCTTTTAAAATAATTTAAACATTTTAAATAAAAATTATTAATAACAAATAGTTGTAGGAAATACTTAAAATAATTTTTAAAATATGATCCTGAATCGGATTCAACATCACATACTGCATTTACACAATTGTTTCCTTATAATCCTTTAATGTGAAATAGTTCTCCCATCTATCTTTGTCTTTCATAACCCTGATAATTTCTAAGAGAATAGTCTAGCTATTTGGAAGAATGTTCATTAATTTAAATGTAGAAGATGTTTCCTTAAACATAGATTCATAGTTTTTTAATTTATTTTTCCCCTTTTTATTGATTCACCATGAGATAGTTACAAAGCTTTCATGTTTGAACTTCGATCATACAATCATCAAACACCCATTCCTTCACCGGTGCACATTTTCCACCACCAAAATCCCCAGTATACACCCCCCCCATTCCACTTCTTTCCCCTGCCTGTGTGGCAGACAATTTGTACAATACTCTCTCTCTATTTTGGTTACATTCAATATTTCGACACCAGTCCCACCACTACTTAAACCTACCCAAAAGGTAGTGCTAGACAATTTATTTTTGTATTGCTTGTTATGGATAAAATATAATTCTACATATATAATTGTATAAAATATAATTCTCTAGGAATTCTAGAATTTTAATAATTAGGGCCTGGAGAAATCTCTGCAGGGAGCTGCTTATTCATGTGTGTGTCTCTGGATCATGGCCGTGTGGGAGCTTAAGTAGCCAGTGGCAGTTTATGGGCATCATCTCAGAGTCCCATGGAGGGGGGGCGGGCTGGAAGGAGAAGGGTCCTCCCCTGTCCTGTGAGGCCTGGCATTTCCCGCCACTGCCACTATGTACCTGGAGCTTTTGTTGAGTTCTAAAAGATGCCAGCCTCCAGGATTCCTCGGGGGCAGGCAGAGGGACAGTACCTGCTCCTGTCAGGAGTGGCCGGCAAAAGTGGCCTATTGTAAAATATGGAGGCATCTCTGCAAGCAAGCCACTCATTTCTGAGATCCGTGTGTCTGTGTGTGTGTGTGTGTGTGTGTGTGTGTGTGTGTGTGTGTGTGTGTGGACTCATAATTTTTTAAAGTGCTTTTTGTTATGGATTTTTGGCAGCAACACAAAGGAATGCTACATCCATTTAATTTGCCAAAGGACCAAGTCTAATGTTAAATGAAATCCATCAGAAAAAGTGAACCATACAGAATGATCTCCCTTGGAATCAGAGAGATAGTGCAGTGAGTAAGGCTTTGCATGTATTCCACCCACATTTGGTGCCTGGCACTCTGTATGGTCCCCAGACCCTGCCAGTAGTGAGCTCAGAGTGCTGAGCCACAAGTAAGCCCAAGCACAACTGTGTGTGGCCCCAAAACAAAACAAAACGAAACCAAAATATCTCCCTCATATGTGGACATAATGAAACTTAGTAAGAAGATAACAAATGCCCAAAGGCAACAGAAACTGAGAATTGGTGTTCAGTAGGTAATTTGGAAGGGTGATGGGACAGGGGATTGGGTGAGGGGGGAACTCTGGGACAATAGTGGGACAATAGTGGAGGGAAGTGGACACTCTGGTGGAGGATGTGGTATTGAAAAGTTGTCTGCATGACACCCTATTATTAACTATATTGTAAATCACAGTGCTTCAAGTTAAACAATATATTTTTTTAAATGGGCCAAGTCTATAATGTATATTTTAGCCATCAGTGGTCAATTAACTTTTTTCAGTTTTTTTCGTGGACGGGGCAGGGAGCCACAAGTGGTGGGGCTCAGGGCCTACTCCTGTCTCTGTGCTCAGGGATCTCTCCTGGTGGAGCACAGTCATATGTGGTGCTAGGGTGAGAAACCAGGTTGGCTGCATAGAAGACAAAAGCCTTACCTGTTCAACTATCTCCCCTGCCACTAGTGAGTTAACTTTGGTTAGGGTGCTGTTTGCCATGTTTCCCCAGTATAAAGTTACTATTTTCTTCCTTTCTAACGAAGAAAAACTTTTAAAAAATTATTTTTGGCACCATGGGTTACAATACTGTTTATGATAGGGTTTCATGCATAACACAATTCCTCACCACACCCTACTCCAGAGGGTCCACTTCCCTCCACTATTGTCTCACTGCCCCTTCCGACCATCCGTTCCCCTGTGGCAGCTTCTTACTGAAGACCAGTTCTCAGTTCCTGTTGCTTTGGGGGTATTTATTATACCCCTAATATGTTTCCTTATATCCTGTATGTGATCATTCTGTGTCTATCCCTCTCCTTCTCATTCAGCATGATTCTCTCCAGATCTATCCATATATGCAGCCAATTTCATGATTTCATCTTCCTATAGCTGAGTAGTATTCCAATGTATATATGCACCATCATTTCTTTATCCAGTCATTCGTTCTCAGCCACATGGTTTGTTTTTAATTTGGGGTATTGTGAATGAACAGTGTTACAATGAATATAGGAATGAAAATATC